TTCCTCGCGCAACAATGAGAACAATTACTGTCCCGAAACGTCCATCCAGTTGGTCCACATGCACTGTTTTTGCTACGGACACGCAACCCACGGCTTTAAGTCGGAGCGCAAGTTGCGCAAGCAGGAGCGCAAACAGGATCGCAAACGCTTCTCAATGCTGAGCTTTACAGACAAGAGTGACAGGAGCGACAGGAGCGACAGGAGCGAGCCCAGCGCCTCCAGCGAGACCAGCGAGCAAAGCTTGCCGACTCCACGGAAGAAGCGATGGTCCTTGTTCGCTAGCTTACGGTCGCGGACCTTTTAAGCTGCCTTTGATGTGGCCGAGTGTGTTTTTGCAATCGTTTGATTTTCCTTTGTGAATTGGGGTATTCTGTGAATCATCAGCACCGGTGTTTGGATGCATGGATCATCTTTCTCCTTTGGGTGGGTTCGGTTCGGGCGTTTCTCGGGATTTATTGTGTTTTTGCTTTTCACAGGGTCGGGCGGGACTTTGTACAATCCCGATGAGAAAAAAGAGACTTCTTCATACCCTCTCTTTGGTGTTTTTTTATTTTGGGAGGGTTTTATACATTGGGGTGACAATGTATGTTATCTGGATGGATATAGATAGATTGACTGCTCCGATCGGATCGGGAACGATCTGATTGTGATGCGCGAACCCCGGATGATGCATGGATTATTTGGAGGCAGCAATAAGACGATCGACTATTGTCTGACCAGTGATTATTGGAAACCACATTGGCCCCGGTCAGGGATGATGGGTCACATTCTCGACAAGTTCCTGCAAGACACCCTTGGAAGGACTACTTTAGATGCAGCAGTAGTGAGTTGAGTAGTATCGAGTATCTCCAGTATGTAGAAGTAGAGATTAAGTAGAGAGGCCAAGTGGAGCGCAATCCCGGATGGATCGCCGGCCCCTGAACCTGGAAAGTTGGAAGCTTGATTGTTGAAGCTTGAAGAATGAGGGGAAACCCTGCATTGCATTGATTGATTTGATGGAATGCAAATTGATTGATTGACTTATGGAGGGAGGGAACTGGGTTTGAGTTCCCGTGCTTGTTGTTATCTTGTCTGCCTCCCTTTCCTCCTCTCTGTCTCTCTCTTCCTCTCTTCTCTCCCTCCTTCCCCCCTCCTCCCTATCTATCCCTGAGTATTCAACTCCCTCCCCATCGACCAACTCTTGTCGCATTATATTTCTCTTTTATTTCTATCTAGATTTTATAAACCTATAATTCTACCACACCAATTTACATCTCTTCTCCACCTACAGAACATCCACTGAGCAACCCCCCGATGGGCCCAATATGGACCCCTCCAAGCGCCATGTGCCCACCTCATTCACTGCGGCTTCATCCCCCCCAGCAACCGAGCCCCCGCTGTCTACAGACGACGCGACTGCCTCGACTCAGAGACTAAGCTATCCCTCGCTACACGCCATGTCCCTGCCTCCCTCTTCTCCAGGACTCTCGTCAGCCGCTCTGTTATCGCCCTCCGATCCCCCCGCGCGTGCTGTCGCGACCCAAGCGCATCCCACCCCACGTCGCATCCCCAGCTCCAGCTCCTTGGCCGATGAGCGTCGCAAGTCCTCCCCCAGCCTGAAGAAACGTTCATCCACCGCGTCGCTACGTTCTAACCGTGGAGCGTCCACTTCACCCCGCCCCAGCTTATCGCGACACTCCTCATCCTCGTTCGGCGCCTCCCCGACGAGCGCGTCCGCCACCCACCCAAACATGGCCAAGAAGGCTCATCGGACAGCCTCGGCGGAGCATTCTGCCGCTGCAGCAGCAGCAGCATCCATCGCAGCAGAGTCCTTTCGCAAAGAAGTGGCCTGGCATCAGTCCACAAAGCCACAGTCGCAGACACTCGTGCTCGTCCATGATGCGTGTTATGGCCATCGCTTCTCGCGCCCGCGAACCTCCCGCGCGGCGCTTAACTCTATCGTCGAGCGTCCCGAGCGCATCCAGGCCAGCGTGCTGGGCATTTCGGCCGCCTATGTTCGATTAGCCCGGCGGCATGCAGGAGGCACGTTCGCTCCTCATCCTGATCTCAATCCGCAGCAGCTGCCGGTCCCACCATTCCATATTCGCAAGACGGCACGGAAACTTTCGCTCAGCTCGCCTGCTGTCACGCACGTGCATGGGTCCAAGTGGATGGAGGACCTAAAGACCATGTGCGATGCAGCCGAATCCCGGCTTGCGTTGAACGGCAAGGAGTTGGTCCGCCCTCGCAGCGCCGGCAAGGACAGCGCCGCCACGAATGCCCCTGCTTTTCACGAAGGAGACCTCTATTTGTGCTCGGAATCCTTGAGCGCGTTTGAAGGCGCCCTGGGAGGTGTCAGTGACGGCGTGGACGCGGTCATGGGTCCGGGCCCAACCAAGCGAGCGTTTGTCTGCATCCGCCCGCCCGGTCATCATTGTTCTGCAGGTCATCCGTCAGGGTTCTGTTGGATTAACAACGTCCATGTGGGCATTTCGTATGCGGCCATGACCCATGGCTTGACCCATGCCGCCATTCTCGACTTTGATCTGCATCATGGAGACGGATCACAAGATATCGCCTGGCAGCAGAATCACAAAGCGGTAACCGCGCCACGGAATGCGGCCGCTCATCGAAAGACCATGGTGGGATATTTTAGTCTGCACGACATCAATTCCTATCCGTGTGAAATGGGGGAGCCGGAAAAGGTGCGCAACGCGAGCGTGTGTATTGACAAGGCCCATGGCCAGTCCATCTGGAACGTGCATCTGGAGCCGTGGAAGTCGGACAAAGAATTCTGGGACCTGTATGCTGCCAAGTACACTGTGCTGATCGACAAGGCGCGGGCGTTCCTGCGCATGCATACCGAGCGGCTGGCCAACACGCCCAATGGATCTCCGCCGAAGGCAGCCATCTTTATTTCAGCCGGGTTTGACGCGAGCGAGTGGGAGGGCGCCGGCATGCAGCGCCACCAGGTAAACGTGCCCACCGAGTTTTATGCCAGGTTCACGGCCGACGTGGTGCGGATGGCGAACGAGGAGGGCCTGGGGACGGATGGGCGAATCATCAGTGTCCTCGAGGGCGGCTACAGCAATCGCGCATTGACCAGCGGTGTGCTCAGTCATTTGTCTGGGCTGGGAGATGCAAAGGGCAGCACCCATGATGTGGATGACCGGCAGATTGATCGTCTCGCGTCAGAAATGACAGATCGTCTGGGCCTGTCTGATTCGGCAGAGGGGCGGTCGGTGACTGAACCGATGTACAACAGTGAGTGGTGGTCACCAGGCGTGCTGGAGGAACTGGAGGCGCTGGTTTATTCGCCGGCTGCACCTGTCAAGCCCCGGGAGAAGGCTGTACCGACCTACTTAACCACAACGCAGTCATTTTCTGCCAAAGTGGTCAATCCCCCGCGAGACCGCAGGTCGACCGGTTCGCACTCGAGCCCAGAGCCGGAAGCACCGTCTCCACCCCCGCCAGTCGGCTGGGCGACTGCCACGCATGAGCTATGCAAGGTCCTGGTCCCGACCGGTCGGCAGACGACAAGCTGTCGGCCAGAAGAGCTCAATGCCGAGGCATCGCGCCTGCGACGGGAGCGTCAGACAGCAGCGGATGCAGCCTCCACAAGCGCGACCACGGCTGCGGTGGCAGCTGCAGCTGCAGCTGCGGCTACAGCTACAGCTACGGCATCGACCGCAGAAGACAGCCGGATGAAGCTCCGCGTGCGAAAGCCTAAGCCCTCGCTGCCTGCCTCGCCTCCGGCCGAAACAGTCAAGCGCCCTGCAGCTCGTGGCAGTCGGAGAACCACCATCGACACAGCACCAGACACAGCTTCTGCAGTACAGACACCCGGTCGTGTGGCCCGCAGGAAGAGTGCAGGAGCCGGGTCAGCAGTATCAACGCCAGAGCCGACTGGGCCCAGACCCGCGTCGAGTGCCGCGGTGCGCAAGACCAGTGCTTCACAATCCAGCACACCTCGATTATCCTCGAGTCCGAATACGCCGCCTGTGCCGCGAGTGCCGCCGGCTTTTCTTTCTGCCGAAAGCGAAGGATCGCCGAATCCTGGTGGGACCCAGGATGATCTGGACAGTCTGACGGCCGGGGTACGCAAGCTGCATATCAAGTTGAAGGTCCCATCGCCAGAAGAGAATGCAGCCAGGGAGAGAGAAAGAGAGAGACGAGCAGCGGAAGAGCGGAAGCGCGCAGCCTCCAAGGCCAGTTCAAAGACGCAGACGCAGACGCAGACCCCCAAGTCGCCTCGCAAGCCCGCTGGTCGGGCACTGAGCTCGGCTTCAAAGGCGGCTCGGTCTGCAGCGAAGCCCGCACCAGTGGCAGTTCAATCAGAGACAGAAGCCAAGGACGAGCCATCGATCGTCACGCCTGTGACCTCGTCACCGCCGTCCGTGAGCAAAGCTGAAAGCAGTACCACCAATGGCTGGGACAGAAGTGAACCCGAGGCTGCAGCTAGCATGGTCATGTCGCCGCCATTGACACCAGGCCGTCCGCCATCGGCATTTTATTCCCCTCCCGGAATGACACTGGCGCGGGATGGATTGCCGGTGATGATGTCAAGCGGGGTGATACCATTTGCAGAGGCCGTACGGAGGGATGAGCAGGGGGAGGAGCAGAAGGGAGGTAATAATTAATTATCATTGTGATTCACTCATTGATTTTCCTTGTGTTGGACTTGATACTTCTGATATTTGTTTGATATACCCCTCGTGTTGGAGTTTTTCATGTCATTCCTTCTTTCCTCTCTATGACAGAAAGAATTAAATTTAGCAGAATAATTGATCCATTGAATGCTACACATATCTCCGAGCAATCTCCGATCCGATCAGATAAAAGTGTGCACCGCCACGCTGAGTCATTTGCCTCTCTCTGTCTCTCCGCATGACTCCCGCCGCCAGGCGCTTCCAGCATCTGCCAGAAAGAACATTATTAAACATTTACTTACTCTATTCAATCTACGGAGTATTCTTCCCTCCACATATCTTAACCCTCACCTTTCCTCTCCATTCCTCCCACTCCCAACCAACCCATACTCAGAAAACCCACCAAAAATGTCCCCAATACCCTCCCCGAACCAAAACACCTCATCAGCAACAGACGCCGACCTCGACGCCATCGGCTCCCACTGCTCCCTCCCAACCTGCAACCAACTCGACTTCCTCCCATTCCGCTGCCCTTCCTGCAAGGGGACATATTGTCTGGAACACAGAACCGAAACAGCGCATAAATGCCCGAATGCGCGAATTTCACCCTCACCGTCCACAACCTCCACATCCACATCCACAACTCAGCAACAACAAAAACCCAATATATACACCGCAGATCAATGCGCGCATATCTCATGCAAAACACTCATTAATACCCTCACTGACCCTGGTGTGCGGTGCGATCAGTGTCGGAAGGAGTATTGTCTCAGACATCGGTTGAGGGAGGGGCATGATTGTCGGCCTGTCTCTAATAATTATAATAGTAGGAATGGTGCTAGAGGTGCAGGGAATGTGGGGGGAGTAGGGGGCACGGATACGTTGAAGTCGATGTTTGGGAAGTTGCGCGCTTGGGGGAATAAACCTTCTTCTTCTTCTTCTTCTACCAGTAGTGGTAGTGGTAGTAGTAGTGGGAGGAAACCACCCAGCCGGGCAGTCCAACTGAACAGCATGAAACGCACCGCCAAGGGGGAGAACAATATCCCCAGCGACAAACGGATCTATTTACATGTTGTGGGGACGAGCGAGACGACAAATAAGCCGGCGACGGATCCCCCGAGAGGGGACTTTTTCTTCGATGAGAGGTGGAAGGTCGGGAGGGTGTTGGATGATGCGGCGAGACGGTTGCAGGTGGAGAATGTGAATAATCGCGGGGGAGGGGAGGAGGAGAAGTTGAGGGTGTTTCATGTTGAGGGGGGAGTGTTTTTGGAGTTTGGGGAGAGTGTGGGTGCCAAGGTGAAGTCTGGGGATACGGTTGTGTTGTTGAGGGGGGCGGGGGTTATTTTATAGAGAAACCTCCCGGAGGGAGGTGGTGGTGTAGAGGGAGGGGGGAATGTAGAGTATATACCCTTGCTTACTTGTTTGCTGCTATCTAATCATATTCATCTATCAACTGTCTCAAACTCTCTATATACGCTGTAGTATAGTACCAGCTAAACGCTCATCTTCATCTTAATCGCCTTATGCGGCTTATACCCAACAACCTCAAACTCCTCCTCCTTCCACCCATCCACAACCCCACTACCCCTATCGTCCCTCTTAATCCTCACCTCCGGAAACGCCACCGGCTCACGTTCAATCTGCTCCTTCAACGCCTCCACATGATCCAAATAAACATGAGCATCACCCAAGGTATGCACCAGAGTCCCGGGAACCATATCAACCGCATGGGCCAACAAATGCGTCAACAACGCATAAGAAGCAATATTAAACGGCACACCAAGCCCCATATCCGCACTCCTCTGATACAACAAACAATCCAAATGGCCCTTCCCCCACTCCCCCTCCCTAACCACCCCGGTTTCATCCCTCTTCGCATCCGGAAACCTAACATAAAACTGCGCAAACATATGACAAGGCGGCAGAGCCATGATCCTCATATCCTTAGGATTCCACGCCGACATGATAATCCTCCGATCGAACGGGTTCTCCTTCAACTTCTTAACCACCTCGGCTAACTGATCCACACCCTGACCGGTATAATCTGTCTTGGCGTCGACGTATTCCGCCCCGAAATGTCTCCATTGGAAGCCGTACACGGGTCCCAGGTCGCCGACTTCCCGGTGCGAGAGACCGACTTTGTCGAGGTATTCGCGCGAGCCGTTGCCGTCCCAGATTTTGATCCCCGCTTCGCTGAGGGGTACGGAGGAGGTCGTGCCGGAGATGAACCAGAGGAGTTCGGCGAGGACGGCGCGCAGGAAGACCCGTTTGGTGGTTAGGAGGGGGAGGATCGGGGTGTAGGGTTCTTCGGATGTGGTGGAGGGTTTGGAGAGGGAGAAGCGCATCTGTGGAGGGGCGAAGATTGAGCGTGTGCCTGTGCCGGTACGGTCCGGGCGGTGCTCGCCTTCTGCCAGAATGCGGCGGATTAGGTTCAGGTATTGGTGTTCTTCGTGGGTTGGGTCGTGCGGAATGGGCTGGGGAGTGGTGGTGGTGGGTTGGGGAGTTGACTCCTGGGTGGGGAGGGTTTCGGCTGAGGGGGCCATTTTGTGTAGTTCTCTGTAGTAGCTGTTTCTTGGTGTTTTGTGTGTTATGTGTTGTGGTATCTTGATATGGGGTATAAGTGATGTGTAAAATGTGTCTGGGGTGAAGTGGGATGGAGGAGTAAATGATGGATTGACGCGCCCGCGACGCGCCACGTAGTCATGTGACCGTGTCGTCGGATGTAATATCCGATCTCGGAGGTACGATGCATAGATCTTATAGATGGAACAGTAGCATACGACTCTATTCAACTGGTATCTGGTATCTTACTCCATCAAATCTACTCCCACTCCCCGCAGTGCAGTCACTACCCACTCCGGGTAATTCGTCTTCTCTTCATACAACTTCCCAAAGAAGTCGCGCAAGAATGCCGGGAACCGGTCCTCTATGATGGCCTGTCGCGCCGATCCCATCAGCGACAGCAGATAGTGCACGTTGTGCATCGTAAGCCTGTTCATTAGTACACATCATACCATACACACTCTGAAATGGCACTTACAGATGCGCTCCTACTGTCTCCTTCGCCGCCAAATGGTGCAGGTATGCCCGCGTAATGCCCAGTCCACCCTGCTCCTTCGGGAGACAGATGCTGCATGTGCAGCCCTCCTGCACCGGCCGGAAGTCCTCTGCGAAAGACCGATGGCGCAGGTTCAATGTCCCTGTCGGGACCACGGCGTTGCCGAAGCGCTAAAGAAATCAGTCAAGGTACATCAGCCAGGAAAATACAACGTACAGCCGTCCGTGTCGGCCAGACACAATCAAACATGTCTGCGCCGAGCGCAACTCCCATGATCAAGTCCTCCGGATAGCCCTAGCCAGGTCAGCCTGCACATACACCCTCTGAACTGAACAACCTACCACTCCCATCACATATCGCGGCTTCTTCTCCGGGAGCAGTCCCGTACAAGTATCCACCCTAACCTATTAGCCCAAACCCACATAGACGAAGAATTACAACATACACCCTGCAAAAGTCCTCCTTGGCCTCACCACCAGAAAGACCACCAATGGCGATACCCGGTGTATCTCGCGCCACCATCTCCTCGCAGCATTGCTTCCGCATCTCCAAATCCAGTCCACCCTGGATAATGCAAAACAGATTCTGCCTCTCCGGGTACTTGTGTGCATCGATACAACGATCTAACCAGCGAACAGACCGCTCCATGGCTTCGTAGATTCTCGCCTGGTCCGGCGAAGTGGTTGCGATCACGTCGTCCAATTGCATGATAATATCGGATCCAATCGAATTCTGTAACGAGATGGAATGTTCGGGGGTGAGCAGCCTTTCAAAACTACCATTAGCTTTTCGCCAGCCACAAACACAGCCTACCCCGAGAGAAAGGGGGATAACGAACATCGGTGTGCCATCATGAGGACTCAAAAACCGTACACCTTCCTCCGTAACAGTCGCAAGTTTAAGCAAGGACACCATTTGGAATCTGCACTCCATCAGTTAATCCAATCATCACGGAGGTATAGGCGATATCAAGCGCACCCTCCACTATCCGTAAGAATATTCCGATCCCATCCCTGCAACTTATGCGCCCCGCCTACGGCATCCAGCACCGCCTGTCCGGGTTTCAATCCAAGGTGGTAGGTATTATTCAGACAGAGCTGGCATCCCGTCTGGCGGAGCTGGTCGTACGTCAAGCCCTTCAGAGAGGCCTGGGTCGCGACGGGCATGAAGATAGGGAGGGGGACATCGCCATGGGGGAGGCGGAGGGTACTGGCGCGTGCTTTTGTTGTCTAGGTATAGATAGTAGTCAGTATACGATGTTACTCTCAACATGATCGGAGTAGCGAGCATACTGAACACTTGGCATGTAAGTCAAAGGTCAATGCCGAGGGCATGGGTTTGCGCGTGGGAGTGGTGGTCGTGGCAGTCGACATGGTTGCGATAGTAGGAGCCCCGCTCGGAGCTGGAGCTGGAGCTGAAGAGGGGATGATGCGGGCAAGGGTTGATGTTGTTGCCGATTTATATAAGGTTGTAGGGGTGGTGGATAGTATCGTGCCTGAGCGGCAGCTTCTTATCCAATTCTGTGCGATGACTCGGGCATACATTCATGAAATACCCAGAAGCATGGCATTCTCTGTCTGTCAGCGACTCTTTTTGTCTTTCTTGTCTTGGATCAATATCAGTGGTGTTTGTCTTGTTTGTATGTTTTGCATTGATATGTATTATACTAGGAATGCTGTCACGGTCATACAAAATTACAATACGGACATCTTCCCCGCATTTACTCCGTCTCCCCCATTTCATAGTATTGCCGGTCCCTGCGGAGGTCAATCAGTCTGGAGGATTCCGAAACTACTATCTATCCTCATCATCATGTATTTCCTCCTCACATCTGTCTACTACGAGCGCATTCTCACCTGCTCAAGAGAATGAAAGATTACAAGCCCAATGCTTTCCTTCCAATCAATCAATGGCAAACAAACCTTGCATACCCAACTGACTCGCCCGCAGCAAAAGGAACTTCCGCTCAACTGAGCCAATTTTGCCGATCAGCCACTAGCAAGCAGCCATGCAGCTTAACTAGCCTTTGGGGATGGCGGTCTGCCTCCGATTCGGGGCTAGCTAAGCTGGACTGAGTTGGAGTCAGCCGGTCTGTCGGTCTTCTCGCGTGGAGTTTTCTGCACTCTCTTTTCCTGTCTGTCTCCCTCTGACGCACGGTCGAGTCACGGAGATTTACGTGGTGATCTACTGCGACAAGGGGTGTTGCTACTGATTCATCATTTTTGAGGTTCACGATAGACCTGTCTTGCTCAGGACATCGCAATGAGTTGGGAAAAGAACTTGGACCACGCTGAGAGCGTGCAGGATGTTGAAGTTGCTCCGCAGGTGCGCTTTTTAGCTCTCCTCCTATTCACATCACAGTCTTCTAATGGCATAATGGCAACTCAGGTAACCGGGGAGAGCTACACTGGAACAGATCTCAGCACTCGCGAGAAAGCCCTGGTCTGGAAACAAGACCTGCGGATTGTGCCACTCTGCGCGGGCATCTATCTTCTCTGCTATCTGGATCGTTCCAACATAGGTAATTGACATCCTAGGGCATGCAGTATAGTCTACTGACAGACTAGGAAATGCCAAAATCCTCAACCAAGACACCGGCAACGATCTCCTCTCGGAGACGCACATGACTTCATACCAGTACACGTAGGTACCTCTGCTGTCAAGTTGACTGTGCAACTGCTAATCATGCAGTGTCGCACTCATGGTGTTCTTAATCGCGTATGCGCTGTTCGAAGTGCCCTCCAATTATCTGCTCAAGAAGTTGAAGCCCAGCGTAAGTCATCCCCATCCCAGTCAGAACAAGGCTAATGTCAGCAGAGATGGATCGGTTTCCTCATGCTGTCCTGGGGAGCTACCACAATGGGCTTGGGCGGCTCGCACAACTTCTCCCAAGTGACTGGTATTCGGTTCCTGCTCGGAGGTAAATAGCCGGACATCGACTTCTGTGAGACCTGCTGACCCTGACATGACAGCCACGGAGGCCGGCCTTTTCCCCGGACTCGTCTACTACCTGACCTTCTGGTATCGCAATTCAGAGCGGTCCATGCGCGTTGCTCTCATACTAGCATCCGCCACCCTCGCGGGTGCATTCGGCGGTGCCATTGCCTATGGCGTAGGACATATGAACGAGGTCCGCGGGTTGTCAGCATGGCGATGGCTGTTCATCATCGAAGGCGCTCCGTCGTGTGCCTCGGCATTCCTTGTTTGGTTCTTCCTCCCTGACTATCCCGAGTCGGCGTCGTGGCTCAGCCCGGAAGAGAAGGAACTTGCTATCCACCGATTGAAAGAGGAAGGCTCTCATGGAACAGCGAAAGCTATGAGCTGGGAAGAGGCAAAGGAGATCCTGACGGAATGGAGGCTATACGCGCATTATATAGTTAGTCCTCCCAGTGCATATCAGCGACAGACCCTAACAATGATGGTATAGGTATATTTCGGCATCTCGACCCCCTTCTCCAGTCTTTCCCTCTTCACCCCTGCCATTGTCAGTGGCCTTGGATATGCGGATTTGCGGGCCCAGCTCATGACAGTACCGCCATGGGCTGCTGCCTATGTGGTAACTACAGTCGTTGCATGGTCCGCCGACCACTTCAACAGGTATGTAGTCATCTGCTTTCAACCCGAGCGATACTGATATATGAACCGAAACACAGCCGTGGTCTGCACTCCGCCCTCTTTGCTTTTATCGGAGCCATGGGCTTCCTCGCATCTGCCGTCCTTCCCGCAGACGCATACTTGGTACGCGCAAGCATTTAATCCAATCCAGCCGTTATCCAGACCATCCACTAATTCCTGCAACAGCACCGATACGGATGTCTCGTAGTCGCAGCCAGTGGCTCCTTCGCCTGCATCCCGCCATTACTCGGCTGGCTATCTGCCAATATCCGCTCGACAGCAGGGACCGGCCTAGCTATTGCATTGAACGTGTCATTCGGGGCGCCGGGACAAATCGTAGGGGTGTGGATATACAAGTCCGACGAGGAGAAGAAGGGTTATCCGACGGGACATTGGACGAATGCGGCGCTGCTGCTGATGGTCACGGCGGGGTGTATTCTGCTGCGACTGTATTATGGATGGAGGAACAAGGGGACCAAGGGTGGTGAAAGGTTCGCCTATTGATTGATTGACTGCGTGCTAGTTATCAGGTTAGTATAACATGAATAGTATATAATTGAAGTTGGGGAGATCTGTCAGTCTGGTGAGAGTTCCGGTGCTGGAGGGAATACTCACCAGCAACAATGGTTCATATCCACCATATTACTTCCCAGGTTCTTCTCAGATGGATTCAGCACCACTCGGCCGCCAATTGTGCAATTAGGGTGATTCGTGCCCAAGTCTCGAGAGGTAGGACGGTGAACGAGTCATGCTAGTGCGAAAACGAAAAAAGCAAAATGGACTAGAAAGAAAAAGGCAGTTAGTTCTCGCCAACTCAAAACAAGGAATCCGGTGGATGCCAATTGATGCCAATTGGAGCAACTGTGCCCCATATTGCAGAGAAGACTGTCTCCGAAAGTAAATAGCAGACGCCATGGCATACCTAATTGCCATCTACCGTTTGGTGTGAAGGGTGCGCGGGTCCCACGGAGAATAATAAATGAATGATTGGCATGCGAACCATGGAACCGGAGAGACTGGCGGGCGGGCGGGCACAACACGTGAAGGAAATAAGGTTAAGCTCAGGGCCATGACAGGTTGCTAAACCAGAGGTCTGGTTTGCCAATATTCAGTAGGTAAGAATAAATAAAGTAAGGTTTCCCTTCTCCTGGAGGGTTATACGGGTCAGCAACCACTATTGAACACCACCCGCTAAGCACTATCCAGACCTGGCATCCCAAGGGTTTGGGTGCTGTGGATATTTCCGCGTCTGACAAAACTCCCGAACTGGCGGTGGGACCTGAGGGTCTTCCACTTTTCTTTTCTTCACTTAGCGCTGACGGACTGATTGACTGGGCTGGTCTTGAGGAACTGCTCGGTTCCCAAGTAGAAAGATAACCAAAAAAAAATATTTAAATTGAAAGCATGACTTCATTCAAAAATAGATGGGATAAATATGAAAAAAAAAAAAAAAAATAACAAATAAGAAAATAAGAACCCCGGCAGACATTAGTCTCTACACCAATCCATGGAGGGGCTATTCCCAACCAGGCACTGTCGCCAAAAAATAAGAAAGACACAACGGTCTGGAATAGATGAAAAGAAAACAATTCCCGAGATGTTCCCTCAACTCCGCCCATAAACGCTGTGAGAACTGAGATGGAAAAGAAGAGAAAGATTTTTTTTTCTTCCCTTTTCTTTTTTGTTGACTTGTCAAATTCCCTCCCTCCCCTGCCAGCATTCAGTTGGCGCACAGCAAGTCGCTTCTGCTCCGCACTGACGATCGCTTGTCCAGTATGCATGGGCGATGGGCGCCTCTCTGCTTCATGGCCAAGCGGGCATAGGAAGGGAAAGTAAAAGATAAGAAAAAGACCGGCAGTATGAATCGCTACCATGATGAAGGAGGAAAGAGAATAAAGGCCTCAAAACTAACTCGGTCAAACTGTCAAAAAGCTCGCACATCGCACGAATCTGTTCTGTCGTCCTAAAGCATTCGTTCGGGGCCCGACTGTCGGTTGTAAAGAACTGGCGCAGATGACAACAGGACTGTCAAATGCGCTCGCCGCCTGCGGATTGAATCAAATCAATATGACCGGACCATCCGAGCCGACCCCGGCAAGGGCACACTGCAGAACAGACAGGGGCCAAGGTTCATCCGCTCAACGGTAACCTTCTTCCCGCAGGAAGTGAGCCTCAGCCATGTCCACATTCCACCCCATACCGTTGTCGTGCCATTCTGCGTTGGGGAATAATCAAGGGAATCGAGCGAGAGAAGAGCAAACAAGTCTCGAGAACGAAGAGGGAAAGGTCAATTGTCGACATCCGAAGTGTTGTACATGTCTGCGAGACCCGAGGAGTAGGCATCAATCCGGATGGCGTCGTACATAACAAGCAAACTGAGCGTAGAAAATAAAAGAATCATAAAAGAACCGGAATAGACGAGAGCAAGGGAGAGGAGAGAGACATGAGTCATTCTCCCGGTAAACATCCAGACAAGATCTAGAAATACAGCCTCTCGACGGATATCAAGGGTTGTTGGTCAACTTCCTCCAGGCGACCTCAGCAGCATCTTCACGGGCATTATTATCACCATCGAAGTAGTAACGTCCCGCATTCGTCCACGGGACTCCCGGGACATGGTGCCGAACGGTGACCTTGGAGGTCCAAGCTGTGCGACCTCCTGAACAGCGACACACCCGTCAGTATAACCAGATCTTTTGCTTGAAATGGGGAGGCTCAAAAGTCGGTGAAGCAGAGCTTAGATTTGCCATCACAGGCACACTGTGGGCAACAGCAAGCAGTGAGGGGCAAGGAAAGGACAAGGAACTCCCAACAACGAGGGGTAATCAGGAGAGTTGACGGCTGGGGGGGGGGGAGGGGATAGAGAAGAAAGGGCTTCTCACCTCGACGATCAGATTCGTAATTGTAAAACGGTTCCTCCAATTTGTTCTCCAGGCAGTATACTTTGTGAGGGAATCAGGATTAGTTGACTTGGACGAAGAAGGGGGCCGCCGTAACGGCTAAGTCGAAAGTGCAGAGAGGAAGATTATTGCAGCGGAGTGGGGCATACTCTTAAGTCTGTCCTGCCATAGCTTGCTTTCCTTTGCGGCCTGCGAAGACTTGGTGGCCATGATGAAGGATGTGTGTGTGTGTTTTTTGTAGTAGAAAAAAACAATTGGTAAGAATGAATGGCTTTGGGTTTTCACCAAAGAGAAATCAAAGCGCAGATCTGAATTGGGTTCGATATCCCACAACGGTTGGAGAACAAAACTCTCTCACACGGCAGACAATACTTCACACCCTGAGTAATTGAAAATAATAGGAAGGGGGGTTTTCGACCACACAACACCAATGGATGGTCAGAACTGTCAAAGTAGAAATGAACAGGACTAATGAGGGTTCAAGATGAAAAGATAGAAAAATTTTTGCCCGGCTATGTTGCTTCGTCTTGACTTTGCTTGGGGAAGTTTGCGAACTGGTCTGCCCTTTCAATCGAACAGCGTCGATAGACCTGGGAAGCGGGGAGTCATATAAACTGTGGGCCATCCCTCCCAAACCCCAAATTGTCACTGTGCAAGCAGGACCAGTTTGGCGTGACAAACACGGAACCTAATCATCAAACCTAACGGACGGGCTTATGCATGCCGATGTGGACATGGCACAGTGTCAGCAATTTCTCCCCCTCCTTATCCTCCTCCACTCATGGAACGCCAGTTGCATGGAGTACATGCGGATCATTTTGAGGCTGCAAGCTGGAACGGGCCGGCGCACGCCGATTGAATGTGTGCCCTTGAAGAAACGCCAGGAGACAGGGAATAGGACCGCTAGTCTCCACCTAGGCCAGATCTACTGACAGACAGGGGGGAGAGGTGATGGGGGGATAATCCAAGACAAAGAAATGAAGCTGTGATACAGGGGGTAAAACCGAAAATCTGCCAGTTCGCAGCCAGTGTTGTTTGACAACTCAGAAAGGACGCCTGGACTCCCGGTCATCGTGGCTCGAGTTCTGTATCTCCTGTGCCGCAAACGATGTATACATCGGGTAGGAACAAGCCACTCGCCTCATAGACGCTCTTCAGGAAGGAGGACCGTCTCTTTCTGGAAGGCATGGGACGGTTGACGGGGAACCTGAGAAGGCCTAGTAGTTGCCCAAAAGCGGAGGAAGGGGACCCATAGACCGAATAGTGACGAATCGAAGCCAGAGTATAATTTTATGTCGACCAGTTGGGCCACTCAGAATATTGGAAGCGGGCCCAAAGACCAGCATGCCAGCTCATCAAAAAGACTCAAATCAGAAAAATTCGAGCCATTGTCAATTTTTAGACCCATCAAATGGTTACCCTCAGCCCTAGAACGAAACGGTCATTGACCGGGCCGCTCTGCATGGGTACTTGTTATCGGGAAGGGGGCTGCAGATTCCAGGGTGGCCAGAGCTTGCTTGATGGCATCACTATAACCCGGAAGGGGGAAAAAGCGAAACCTTCAGCAGGGGTCTGAAAACAGAAAATAATGTTGGAAGGCCAGCTTGTGCACCAAAATCACTCTGAGGGAGACACAAATTGCCAGCGAAGAGCGAGCTGGGTATGCTTGACCCAGACCATTTCCGGCAGCTGAGATGCCATGATTCGTTGCTTTCTTCTGGCATTGTGTTGGGCATTCATACGTGCATCATTTCAGTTCAATCTCTCTTCGCTTGCAATATGCGACTACTTGCGAACCACCTTAATGGGGGAAGAAAAGAGACCGGGGGGTGTTGTGTTAATTATTTTCTTCTCTGTTAGTTTATTGGAAGCAGCAAGGAAATCGTGGAAAGTGATGAAGAACCTGCATAAGCAAGCAAGATTGATAACCAGCGCGCCAAACAACGGGGAAGGCTGGAACGTTTCCACGAACCGCTTTTCGAGGCGGCGACCAGCCCGTTGATTCGACGCGCCGTTGCGTTTCTTTTTTGGCGACGAGCCTCGATCTGCCCCGCATCATCGTAGTTTGGGGCGGAGTTTCATCTGGAGATGGAGTTGAGTAGAGTATTAGAACGATTGCTGGGCAGTGGTAGAGAAGATGGTATCGAAGGATAGAAGAAGTTATCCAGTTTCCAGTACTCATGTCACTGTCCCGTAACATATTGGAATAGTAGTAGTAGTAGTAGTAAGTAGTAGTACCCCTACCCGGGGGGGGGGATGTGTACCTGGCTGCCACTCAACTCCGTCACTTCCCTTTCTGGTGTACATTCATCAGCACAGCAGCACTATCTTCTTGGCTATTTTTTTAATTGTTTTCCCCTTTCAAGCCTAGCCAGATCATGCATGTTGTTCTCTTCTCTTGCCATCTGATCTGGTCCAGACCAGGGGTTGAACAAGTCAGGCAAACAAGGAACGAACTATAATCGCGGGTCCTGTTCCCCGGCCGGGACAGCAAGAGTCGACAGCTAGCTAGCTGGCGGGAATAATTAAAATAAAAAGTCCAAGGTGGCTGGCTGGCTAGGCATTAGGTTCATGAGATATGCAGCATTCTAAATTGACATGCGCAAGCGTCATCCCCAAGATCAATGCTGATCATAATTCAAAATAGTACCAGGAAAATGCCAGCAGAAAGAAAAGGTGAGGCTGAAACAGGCAGCCAACTCAGGTTCACACCACCACCACCACCACCACCCACTTGCTTGCCTAGTACTACTAGTAGTAAGTACTGCTAGGTAGTAAGTAACTACTAAACTACATCCAGCAAGCACCACTGCCACCACCAACACTACCACCATCACCAACACCACCGTCAGTCAACCCCCCCTCATCCGAATCTGCACGACCCTCCGGTTCCTGTAACACATCATCGCCAATCATGCCGGTCTGTCCTTCCGGCAACCGCCCAAATGTACCACCCCCTCTTCCCCTCAGCTGCGCAAATACCAAGAAGAAGTAAACAAGAAAAATTTAGAGCACATGAGCCAACCAAAATTCAGTGCGAACCCCCCCCCTGCCAATTCCCAATGAGAAAAAGAAAAAAAAAAACAAAAACAAAAAAAAAAACAAAAAAGAAAAGAAAAAGGAAATCCCATCATCATTTGCGGTCGTTATCGTCGTTAGAGCCAAGTGGTCGGCTAGCGACCCCTGTCAATGAAAAACTGCGCCGGTTGCAAACCGGTCTTTCCCCTCACAACACGATGGCATGACGTGTTGCCGCCGTGTCGCCCTTGACCATCCGTTTTTCCTCCATCGATAGCCTATCATTCTTTATGCGGACCCTCGTCGGTGGAACACCTCATCGAGAAATCGCCGGGGACCCATGAGCTCAATACTCTTCGAGAGGGTTGATCGCATCGGCTGGATGAATTGGGACGGTCTCTTCGTGTGCCATCGGCGGCGAATGCAATCGTCAACAAAAGATATTAGGCCTGTAGCAACAAACACACTGTACACTAGTCAGCCCCAAACTCTAAAAAGGAAGACCTTCGACCCGACACTAAGTAGAGGGGATTTGAATTACTTACTCGGCGACGTCGGGCATCTTCTCATACACTGACGGGTCACTGATCCACATGGATGATGGTGGAACCCATCCTCCCTTTTTCTCCTCCTCAGCTGCCTCCATCGGGGTCAGGATCTCTGGGACGATATGAGCGACGGTCTTGGACGTGCGTGTGTTAACCAGGTGATAGGAGACTTCGCGCAAGTCTCCATCTTTCCGACACTCGCGTCTCCATTGGTACCGGGTCGACCAGTATTCAAATTCATATCGCTTGGAGAGACCTGCACCTCGGCGCCTAAGCTCTACGTGAGCATAATTTGAAAATTCGAGTAACGTGCTATCGGTTAGCACAAAATGGCGATCCCCGCCACCTCGGTGTTCTGAATGCTTGTCCTCGAAATATTCTTCATCATCTTCCGCCGACCTATAGCCCGAGTCCTGGCGCTTATGCTCGTGGCTAGGCAGTGATCCGTGGCCACTTGAACCCGGCCGCAAGCTAGCCAGCACACTACCCCACGACCGTCGAAACACCGGATGCCTGTCCGAACTCGATGCGACAGGCCGTCGTTCTGAGTGGCACACTTCCCGCCCAGAGTCTCGACAGTAGCGTCGGAAGGAGCACTTTCGCGTAAACAGGTCATACATGCGAAGATGGAACAAAGTTACATCTTGCTGATATCCACCTCTTTGCGGCACCATCGTGTCGACGCGGAGGTTCATGTTTCCATCGAGTGTCGCATCGTCGTGTCGAATCAGGAGTCGTCGAGAGGAAGGGAATAGCTGCCCAAAAGTCGACGGGTCGGAAGGGACAACATCTGTTGAGAACACGTCCAGCTGACGGTCGATTACTTCGTAGCGCGGGGTCTCTGGAGGATCATCTTCCGACGGGATCGTAGATGCGTAGGTCGACACCGAGGCTTTAGGATCTTCTTCTTCATCGTAAATGTCCATGTCTATACCTCCTCTGTGAAGGGGAGTGGGTCGATCGCTGTAGATCGTAGGGGCCGTGCTTTTCGAGCGTTCCGAGACATCACTGTTAGTGGAACTGGAACTGCCACCGGTCCTCGAACCATTTCGGTAAGACGATGCACCATGGGATCCCATGACGGCGCTAATGTGATAGGGAGCCGTCGGATAGGTTGTGAAGCGATAAAAACCAAGCAGGCGTGCAAGGATGGTGGCGTATAGTTTGGGTATCCTTCTGGCCGGTCGTAGAGTGACAAGAGACTGTTTCGATACCCGAGCCGATCCGACAGTAACACTTTAATCCTAATCCAGGCAAGCTTAAGGGATAAGTTGCATATAGGGGGTGGGAAAGGAGAATATCAAAGAGTGTGGTAGCGAGTTGAGCACACAGGATGAGGTAGGGATAAATATGTTGTATTTCAATCATAGCCTGATCTCGTGGTCCAAGCAACGTTTTTCCGTACAAGAAGCAGCCCCAGCCGTCTCAGACACCGTACGTGAGGAGATTTCGGGAAAAGCAGTGCACAATGAGGCAAAAATCATCCAAGAGCAGGATAATTTTGGGTCAGATGAAGAGGAGAAGGGGGGGGGGATGTTTCGGCGGCAGGGACAGGCGAGATTGAACGGATAGAGAGAGGGTGAGAGAGGGATTGGAGGGGAGGGAATTGGCGTAAGAATAAACACGGGTGTAGAATAATAATAGGAACAGTAATCGTGAATCGGGACAAAGAGCGGGCAGGAATCCGAGGTCAAGATCAGGCTGTGAACTGAACTGAACTCAGCCCTGGAACAATCCGAGAGGGGTGAGAAAGCGAATGAATGGAGGGAATGTGGAAGGGGGCCGTGGATCATAGCAGATGACGCCAGACTTTGCAGCACAAGGGAGGGTTTCAGGGTATGAAGCGACCGAGATGACACACGGCATCCTCCCACCTACATACAAGTGAGTGGGAGGGAAAGGGAAATGCGCATGACGCAGAAGGTCCCGTCGCAACGGAAGAGAGAAAGAGAGCCAAAGGGCAAAAAGCACGGAATGGAGGATGGGAAATGAACGCCTGGCGAGGGCAGCCACGTCGGCCAGCGGAGACCCAACCAGCCAACTGATGGATTGACTGACTTGGCCATCTCTCACTGCTCTCTCTCTCTCTCACATTCCTGTTGGTTGACCCAGTTGCTTCCTTTTTCTTTTAACCTTTTTTGGTCATCGGAATTTGTTCCTTTTAGCAGAAAAGGAAAGAAATAGAGAGAAAAGAATAAAAGAAAAAGGACGAAGCATTAAACTTTATCTACAGCACAAAGTTTCAGATTGTGCTTTACTCTTCCTTACCCACACTAATCGTGCGGGTGATGCTGTACTGGTGATGCTGGCAATATTCTCGTTGTTCTCGGAATCAGCAGATTCAGCCGGTACACAATCCTTCTAAAGGCAAGACTGACTGACTGACTGACTGACTGACTGACTGACTGACTGATCAGCAAGGATTCTGCCTACAGCCTTGACTCAACTGCCCTTGAGACCTTGGCTGACGGTAGTAGCTACTACTACTACTACTACCAAGTGACCTCAACTGCAAAGACAGTCCATGCCCATCTACAGAGCCCCAAGCATCATTGTTATGTCTCAGACTATGGCTGCTACATCATCAGCCTAATTGGGATGACTCGTGCCTTATTCCGACCGCTACGACCACGAGGTTCTAGAATCGCCCAGACAAGGTTTATACTGCTTATCTTGAGTTACCTTTCCCTTGCAAAGGCATTTCTCGGCAGGTCTTTTCCTTTTTCTCCTGTGCGTCCAGGATATTCTCCGAGACTCCCAAATGCGGACATTTGCTGACTGGTGCCGTAGCCCAAGACAGTCAAAGCCTGTTTATATGGAAATTCTACCGTATAGCTAAGGTCGCAGCAAGAAGGTCGACGGATGACACGATCCGGCGCAGACTGGGCGTTGTCCCTGCAGGGAATCGGCGACTTACTTGGTGCTTCGCCCGCGGTGTCGAGTGGGAAATGTTCATTGCTGACCGAACGCTGGATGGAGAATTGCCGACAACCTATCAACAAACAATTCGTCTGCTTAGCTTTTCTTTTTCTTGCAGTGTGAAAATAGTACTTTGTCACCGGAGACAAGGAGGTAAAAAGTAAACGCAAAACCAGGGAAATACCAATGGTGGTCAAGTCAAGTCCACAACATCTATCAGATCGATGCCTGACTATACAGTACTTCGTGACCCAACGGTGGGAAACGGTACCATGGAACCGACTGGGGTCGCCTCTTCGGATCGGACCGAATGAATAATCGCCCATACTCACTCTCTGTCTTCCCTTTCAGGCATTTCGATCAATCTCGCCACATAACCAGCGAAGTTGAGGGTAAAGGTGGTGCGACACCTCAGAAATACAGATCACCGGGGAATTGCATGTGAGAAGAGGCGACTTTTGGAGGCGAAGACGTGGGGAGATGGATTCCGGGCTTGGGGGGCTTCTGTGTTGTCTTTTTCCCACCCAAAAACTCAAACACGAACCCTATTCCGGTTTCTCTCCTTGAAGACCCCCACAACGATGGGGCTTCCCAAGTGGGGCGCGGTCAGTGCCCTTGCCTCGCTTGTCTATGGATGCCTTTATTTCCTCTCTTCTCGCTCTCCCTTCTCCATCGCAAAATCGGAGATGGTTTGACATTCCACAGTCGCTTAAATGGACACCTGAAATTATGATCATCTTCTTCCCGTTACTCGCCAATCAATTCACTGTGCGCACGGGAGATAGCGACACCAAGGCATCAGTGCAGTTAGTCAGTCTACTACTAAATTAAGCATCCAGCGGATACTTCCTAATCAGGTAAGTGAACAGCAATTCACATTACTACTACTCCGTAGTACTAGATAGCAGATAGATGATACCCAGTCCCTTGCACCATACATGCACCCGAGGTCTGAAGTGATCTGCTGTTGCAGAACCAACACAAGAAGTACTAGTAGAATACCTGTGTTTGCATAATACGTCACCCTGATTGTTGTGTTCAATCACTCCAGTATCCTTTCCCTACGCAATATCCACGCTGTCAACAGCAACCATGCCATACTCTTCTTCTTCTTCTCTTAGTGACAGCCCGCTGCATAGCAGCATCATTTAGACCATCTAGACCCGGAACCACCGGACCGACCTAAAACCGGTATCGTAGATCAACATGTAAGCTGACGGCTGACGGTGGTACAGGATTCCAACAATGCCACTGGCACTGACACTGACAATTGCTATTGGCTTTCTGCCTTGGTCAATCCATCAATCCATGAATCAGCACTGGTATGTCAAAGGCGGGAAGGATGGAGAAGGAGGAGGATGAGGTGCTATCTACTCCTATTGACTTGGCTGCTACATACCAATACGTCACGGTCACACCCGGAGACATCATCAACATAACATGCATGCCTGATGAGAATCTATTGAGTGCCTTCACGCCAGCAACTGTACTAACGATTGACATCATATTCAATGGCATTGAATTCCACTGTCTACTACTCCATGTTTTTCCATGCCCCTTTTGAATGAACCTATCTGCACCACGAAACAGACGAAATATGTGAACATGTATATCAAACTCTAGACACTTTAGTATCTACCTATCATTTAGTAGCACCATGCATACCACATAGTAATAGTAATAGGAACTTGGAAAAGGGAGGCGAGTCTCCATCAATGCCCAAGGCTAACTGGTGTCATCATCAGTCCCAGATGCTGGAATTGAGTCTACATATCTACACACAACGAAATATACTACTAGTAGATTTCAGCCTCATTATGATAAATATCACCCGCTCAATTGACCACTACGCTTGCATTCCCCTTAGCAGCTAGAGACTAGTAGTTAGTTTAGTAAGTATATCAATTGCTCACTGCAGCCTCCAGTGTACTTACTGGAATATACCAAATTGCCATACTACGTACTGATATGGTGCTATGGCCATTGAGTTGAAACAAAAGGATAATCTTTCCTTCACCACATTGCCATTGAAGGAAAGCTTCACCTTCACAACTTGAGTACTTCGTACTTCGCTATCTCAGGTCCACTAAGGGTTCATCCGATACTACTAGATCCAGATCCATATAGTAGGTGAACGTTGCATCTAGCATATGCTGGTAGGTGGGGATTCCACCCATATATCTTGCAAAATTACTGCAAACTTCCGATATATGTGCCCTTATCCAGTTCTCCTTGGACGATTCGAGACAGATTTGGAAGATCGGGAGGGGCTATGATTCTGTAGCTAGGTGCAGGCATAGAAGAGATTGATCATAGATAAGAGATCTTCTTTGTCTTACAGTGGACAGAATAATGATGTGAAGATGATCGCGTCATGAAGATACTTACTCTACAAATCCATGCGGGTCGCCACCTTCCCTATGTGCCCAAATCAATTGTAGGTCTTGGTCTATCCTACCTTATATACAGGATCTATATCCCCGCAGGCAGTAAGTAGACATCCCACCGACGCCAATATTACAAGAGATAAATATTAAAATCAGCCCGAAACATACACCGTGAATCAAACGCATCGAAGCTCTGTAGAACTGCAAAGTTGTGAAAGTTGACCTGCATTTGTCAGAAGTTCGAGGTCATTTCGACCAACGACTCACACCTGCAACCACAGCGGTTGAGGCAGTTCGTCTCCGGGCTGAATAATCGCTTCCTGACGGCAAGCCTTTGACCCAGCCGGTGAGGATACGGGTCCTGCTCGACTGCCTGGGGCTGGCGGGTAGAAGCCAACGTAAGCCTCGCGGCGGGCAGGTTCCCCGACGGTGACAGACCAAGTGTGCAAGCCGTAATATGACGCGATGGAATGGACGAGCCAGCGACTGAAGGTGAGAACATACGGTAAGTATGGATCGACGCTCTGGATAGATGATACTACACTTACCCGAATCCAGCTGCCCGGTCGTCGACCAGGCTCTCAAACACCATCTTCTGCCCATCGTGCTCATGATGAGCACTCATTGCCTCACGCATCTTTTGCAATCGTGCCTTTCTCTGAGGCGAGTCATGCATCAGGCCGTTTCGACCCACAAACACGATCTCGTCTTCGGATTCACTGTCGGATGACTGTGGGGCATCTGCCAGACCCTCCTGCTTCAGTAAACCTTGCTTCTCGTTCCATCGCTGGATGAATTGTCTGATGTCTTCTTCGATATCCTGAAGTATACCACGTGCCGCACGTGCATGCTTTAGTCTCTGTCGCAACTCCTTAGGAACACGATGCTTCTCGATCCGGGTCTCCATCTGCTGGGATGACCTATGATCCAAACGCGCATAGTGGTTGTCCCAGAGAGGTGCAAGGTAGTAAGGCATAGGGTCGTGACGAGTGTGGGTGGCTTGGATATCCCAATCCTTGGAAGAAGGTGGCTCAGCCCACGGATTGTTCAGAAGACGATCTTTGCAAGAAGCACATCCTGTCAGCATCTATCGAGTGCAAAGACCAAGGCATGCCCGGCCTAGGAGAAGCGCGGAAGCCCAGCCAGTGGCGTGATTCCGATATGTCAGGACATACCATTCTCCCAACGCTGTCTGCGACGACTACCATCCTTTCCCTTTAACAAGGCTTCGCGCCTCTTGAGGCTATCACGGCGAAGCGGCTCGCGGCGCCGGAAGTTCACCGACGCCACCTGGGTCTCCTTGGTTGACTGGCCTAGAACCTTGACCTTAGGCGCGGAAGGGCTTCCCACTGTCGGTACTGGGTCGTCTAGGGGGATTGATAACGAGACTGTGGTGCCGCGCACGCCTGCGCGCGTAGGAGTGGACTGGGAAAAGACCACATTCGAATCGGCGATCGGTACTGACTCCGAGAGGGTCAGACTCTCCAAGGATGCAGCCGCCTGTTCAGTCCAAGCGGAGATGGCGCGAGCCTGCTGCGGCGAGAGAGATCCTCTCGGATTCGTTTCAGATGGGAAATTCGGATGAATGGCCATGGTGAGAGCGCAACGCGGTTCGGACGGGTGTCGATAACGGATAGGCCTATGGGACAGAAGAACCGGGATGACGGGGGCGGTTAAGCACAGAAAGGGTGTCGCAGCCTGAGGCGATGGTACCAAGTAGTACTCCAGGGAGAGACCACTAAGGCAGTGACTGACTTCTGGAGAAGAGCGACAAGAATCGGGGGAGGCGGGGGGGTGGACGAAGGGAAGCCCTGCTCTCAGATAAGAGGAGATAACCGCCGCCTGCAGTCCGGTCGCGTTCGCCGGTCGAGCCCAGTCGGTACAATACGGTAAGCGCTGAGAATTCCGGCCTCGGATCCACCAGTTGACTCCCACTGGGGCACGAGAATCTCGAATGGCTGGTCATTGGATGCCCTTGACGCTTACCCTAGCCCTACCTGCCTGAATGGGATCTGAGACAGGAACCTTCTGTGAGTCATCGTGACTGCTAGTGGCGCCCTGATTCGCGAGCCGTGTGCTTCACGCGACAGGCGTCTATCCGCATCACCCGTGGCGGTGATGTAACAACCCTTGAACCTTGGAAATGGGACCCTCGGATTGTCATCCTTATCATTCAGATATCCCTCACCCAGGCCTGTGTATGTGCTTTATGACAAGGCGATGTGGAACGCCTCAAGTAAATCGCTCTCCAAAGCAGCAACGTGCGAAAGACCCTAATAATACACCCCATAATGGCCCTCGGACACACGCCCCTCATTAGACTCATAGCCCTTTCGGTGAACGATATGTCTGTTCGTTTGACGACCTTTTTTACTTTCGATCAGATCGAATATTGAGCAGTAATTAGTAGCCCCAGATAGCTGGGAACCTACCAACGGTAGTTGTAAATTCCTAAGACATTAAAGTCACCAGTGGTGGTTATCAATGCTTGTAAGATAGAGAGCATCTCATCAGAAGGAGCTTGGTGCCTCAGGTATCTACCCCACGATTCGCGGCAGCCAGCAATGATCCGGGCTCAGGCACACAGACTCGTGACGGTCGCACAACGGGACCCTACATTAGCATGGCATGCTACAAGGGTCGACTTATGCGACAAGAGTAGTGTCTGCCTTGACATTGTCTAAGAGCGCATGCTAAGACCCTTCTCTCCCTGGAGAGTAAAGGTGGGCGCAATAGAGTACTATAGTGCAAGTGCTTCCAGGCTGGCTGGTAAACGGACCCGCTGCCAGGGGCGGCTAGTCTGCCTTGATTTCAATCCAGGAACCATTTAAGAGTCAACGGCTACCAGTCAAGTCGGACCATCTATCAATAGTGTGGGATAGCAGAGAGTCGGATCGGAGTCTCACAGGCATCCTTGGCGGTCGAGGAGTGATGAGTTGTGCGACCAGCGCGTGTTCCTTATTTAAGCCGCGCGCGCACCTCTGACGCAACGGTCTCAAAAGGGGGTTCTCAGCTCTTAGGTTGCATGTTCGGCTGCATCCAATTCGACCTCTCCGTGTCTGTCTAGCATCATCCCGAATCTTATCGGAGCAGTCCTCCGGTCAAGTTAATATTGCAAAGCAGTCCTCCTCTTCTGCCCAGCTCAGTCCTCGGCCTTCTGTGACCCTTGGAGCCTTATCAATTGCCGACAGGTATTCGGGCGGGTCAGCCTTGGACAACTCATTAGCAGTGCAGAGGTTCATCAGCAGCAACTGTACTATTTGATTTCCTATCATCATTATTGATCATCATCTTATATCCTTATCTTCTCTCTCCATCAATCTATTGAGCTGGTAGCTTATCGTAGACAACATGAAGCTCTCAATAGCTCTCGCACTCGGTGCAACGGCTTCGACGGGGGTGTTGGCTGCCGTGGTACCGCAGCAAGAACCGCTGATAACCCCTCAAGATCCCCCCACTCATCACCATCAGGAGAAGTTCTTGATCGAGCTGGCTCCCTATCAGACGAGATGGGTGACTGAGGAAGAGAAGTGGGACCTGAAACTGGTATAGCAACATGCCCCGTTTCGTTATTGTCAAGATAGCACATCTTACTAATATCTCGTGGGATGCTCCTTAGGACGGCGTTAACTTCATCGATATTACTGAAGAGCGAAACACCGGGTTCTACCCGACATTGCACGCCGGTAGCTATGTTCACTATCCGTCCACGATGAAGCATGCAGAGAAGGTGGTCCCCCTTCTGCGGGGTCTCTCCAAGGATAACATGGAGCAAAATCTCAACAAGTTCACCTCCTTTCACACTCGCTACTACAGGTCGTCCACTGGTATTGGGTCTGCAAAGTGGCTATATAGTAGGGTTTCCGATGTCATAGAGCAGTCAGGTGCAGCAAAGTACGGCGCGACTGTGGAGCAGTTTGCTCACTCATGGGGCCAATTCAGTATCATTGCTCGCATCCCTGGCCAGACCAACAAAACTGTCGTCCTGGGTGCCCATCAGGACAGCATCAATCTGTTCCTTCCCTCTATCCTAGCGGCACCTGGTGCCGATGATGACGGAAGTGGAACCGTGACCATCCTCGAAGCTTTGCGTGGTCTGCTGCAGTCAGACGCCATTGTTTGGGGCAACGCTTCCAACACAATCGAATTCCACTGGTACTCGGCAGAGGAAGGTGGCATGCTTGGTTCGCAGGCCATCTTCTCTCAATACAAGAGGGATAAGCGAGATATCAAGGCGATGCTTCAACAGGATATGACTGGCTATACTCAGGGAGCTCTGGACGCCGGTCGTCAAGAAGCCATCGGGATTATGGTTGACTACGTTGATGAGGGACTGACTCAATTCCTCAAAGATGTCACTACTGAGGTACGTTCTCTCTCACCTCTCTTCTGTTGAAGACATATGACTAACGATTTCTGTCAAAGTATTGTGGTATTGGCTACATCGAAACCAGATGTGGCTACGCCTGCTCGGACCACACATCCGCAAGCAAATATGGCTATCCCGCAGCTATGGCGACGGAGTCCGAAATGGAGAACAGCAACAAGAGGATCCACACGACTGATGACAGCATCCGGTATCTAAGCTTCGATCATATGCTGGAGCATGCGAGGTTGACCCTTGGCTTCGCTTACGAGCTGGCTTTTGCTCCATTCTAATGTCCTTCATGAATTTACGTTATTACGGGACCGAGCAGATAATTATGGCTAAGTAGTGAGGCTCATATGTTCAGGTTCCTGATGCGGATTTAATTGTGGCATTGAATGAGGTTACAGAGCAAACCAATTCACCATTCTGTAATGGATTAGATGTCTGAAGTCAAGTGTCTGCAAGGGACCCTGCCTATATATTACAGATTAATTGGATTGGTTTTGTTGATCCGAGAATAAGCCTGCGATTGGGCTTTCTATTATTAACATCCTACTTTGTACCAGCAATAGACTCATACATTGACTCCGAACAAACAAAATACCGGTGACTCTTATGGGTGGCGTGATGATAGTCTGCAGAATGGCCCGATAAGATAAACGAAGGAGATCCGACTATACTCGATTAAGTCACACTAGCCTGAAACAGAAAGACGGTCACTCCGCCGGGGCGATCACTTCCACTGGCTTCATGTTCGAGTCATTCCTGCTTTTGTTTCCTCCTTGTTACCACTACTTTTGCCCCTTCAGAACAGATCCTGACACGAGAAATTTCGCTCTTTAGACTATCTAATTTTTACATATCTTTGCTTTGACTGAATTGGCAAAACTTCGCCGGTCGCTCCTATCTATCGCCTACGTCACCAGCGGTGCCCCTCCAAGGAAGACCCCACCATCAGACCTTGGATCCGATATTAGTCGGTGTGTGATCTCGGAAGACGTTGCAACATCTTCTCCGAATCTCCAAGTATCGTTGATTTCGAGACGACTGAAAAGAACGCTTAATTGAGGCGAACTGCATCCCAGAGATCTCAGCGTAAAGGATCCTGGCTAGATACCCATCTGAAAACTCAAATTGTTATCGAGTGGTACGGTACATACGGCTACCATGGGATCCACCAACCCCTACGCAAAGGAACTTCAGATCGCCTGTCTCACAGTCCAGAGAGCCACGCTCCTGACGAAAAAGCTATTGGAAGCTGTGGACAAGGGGTCTTTCGACAAGAATGACGCCACCCCAGTGACAATTGCTGATTTTGCTGCACAGGCATTGATCATCGCTGCCATTCACCGTGCGTTCCCCGACGATGAGTTCGTCGGCGAAGAGAGCTCAGATGCTCTTCGATCAGATCCTGCTCTTCTTGACAGGACTTGGGAGCTGGTCTCCTCTACCCGCCTGTCGGACGAAGAAAGCGATGCACTGCTTTACGCTCCGAGCAGCAAGGAGGAAATGCTTGATTTGATCGACCTCGGTGCTCAGGGCAACTGTAGCAAGCAGAGCCGTGCCTGGGTTCTGGACCCCGTTGACGGCACAGCAACCTTCATTCAGGGTCAGCAGTACGCTGTTTGTCTGTCACTGGTGGAAAACGGCTACCAGAAGGTTGGCGTTTTGGGCTGTCCGAATATGAACCTAAAGACGGGTCGCCTACATGAAAACATCGTTGACCGAGATGGCTACGGGCATCAGGTATTCGCTGTCGCCGGACAAGGCGCATTTATTCGGCAAATGGGAACGGGAGCTCTCCTCCCCTCGCGCAAGATCGAGCCAAAGACGCAGATTACGGATCCTAAAGATCTCGATTTTGTGGATTGCGTGTCAGCAACATCATCCGACAGGAACATGCATGCCCGCCTTGCATCGCATTTGGGTGCACCTTGGCCGGCCTCGACAGATCTCTGGGCCGCGCAGCTGCGATACATCGCCATCGCAGTTGGGGGCTGTAATGTCATGATAAAAATTCCGCGTAACCCTTCTTATCGGTCGAAGATTTGGGATCATTCAGGCGGCATGTTGATTGCCGAAGAACTTGGTTGTACAGTTAGCGATCTGGCGGGTAATCCAGTCGACTGCAGCTTGGGCAGAACCCTGTCTGGTTGCTACGGGATGATCGTTGCACCTTCGTCCATCCACAGCCGGCTCGTGGAGGCAGTGAAACAGATCGTGTAAGACAAACGGTTAATCCGGGGTCTGGGTTGGCGGATGAGCTGTCTCAACAGTCCCTGCTTACGGTTTTTGCTTTTTCTTCGGAGCCACTAGTTTATTGCACCACCTAGTGTTTGATGAAAGAAAAAGGCTACGGACTAGTATGCCCTCGCTCTGCAGCTCCCAAGTGTATTGACAGGACGGTTCGTGCATGAGGGCCAGGATTACTTGTTATGCTGCCACAAGACAAA